ACAGCATAACAGATAAAACCATACAGGCAATGAATCACTTGAATGAAGTTCCTGTATATTTCCCCATAACACACACACACACACACATACAAACACACACACACACACACGGGTACTCACATGGGAACATAACTTCCTAGGGACTGGAACCCCACAAGGAGAAAAGCATATGCTTCACCTCTATATCCTCTGGTAAAGTGCCCAGTTTCCCCTAATCTAATGGATAAGCCTGTGTGTATTATAAATAATTCATGAAACATCTTCTCTAATCCACAAGCTGAGCTTTCAGTCCAACACTGTGCTTCATCTATTTTTGCTCATCAAGCACATTGTTAAAAATTTCTCCTTATATGTTTACAGTTTTCTCAAAGAACATCACTTGAATGAAGTTCCTGTATATTTCCCCATAACACACACACACACACACACATACAAACACACACACACACACACACGGGTACTCACATGGGAACATAACTTCCTAGGGACTGGAACCCCACAAGGAGAAAAGCATATGCTTCACCTCTATATCCTCTGGTAAAGTGCCCAGTTTCCCCTAATCTAATGGATAAGCCTGTGTGTATTATAAATAATTCATGAAACATCTTCTCTAATCCACAAGCTGAGCTTTCAGTCCAACACTGTGCTTCATCTATTTTTGCTCATCAAGCACATTGTTAAAAATTTCTCCTTATATGTTTACAGTTTTCTCAAAGACAGTCACCATTTATTTATTTATTTTTTTGCTATTTTATTTCTAGCTACTATGACAGCATTCAACAAATAAAATACCTTCACTTATTTTTCCTCTATGGATTATCCAAAACCCAATGAGTACAAGTTAAAATAATGATTATTAAGCATCATATGTAGAGAAATGTTTGTTATTACCTACCTACATTATTGTCAGTCTATGTTTAGCCTTAGAACACAATATATTCTTAAATGAAGATTTGTTATTATGAAGAGACTTTTGTTATAAGTTTTGGTTTCTATTTTTAGTACTGCGTCATTTTATAAATAATATGTATATGTCCTCTTAACTGAGGAGAATGTATAAAATGCACGCAGTGCCTCGCCCATGGGAATTGCAGCAGTCTCGGCCACCCCTGTTGACAGTGGTGACGGGCAGTCAGGGACCCTGGAAAAACTCACTGGTATGTCTCGGGTCATCATCCTAGATATTCTACACAACTCACCGTCTACATTCACAGTGTTATTTTCTGTTTATCCACAAATCAGAATTCTTTCGGGTACAACTGATTATTTTTCAGTTGATGGCAAGCAGGATTTAGATATCTGAAATCATTTGGAAACTTCATCTCTCCCAAAAAGTAAAATTGCTGCCGTGGCAAAATCCCTTGACATCGTAAGTACACTGCACGTGAGTGGAACGCACACGGGGTGAGGATTTCATTTATTAATCCCAAATCCGGGCACTCCATGGAACACGGCATCACTGTTTCTGCGCTGCAGCTGGAATCCTCCTCACTATTCCTGTGGATTCAGTATAAGGCTCTTGTCTTAAATGTCTATGCTCCCGTGCAAACCTAGAAAACATTCAACTCGGCTGAATGTGTTTTGAGGCTTTAGTAAAAAACTGAGAAAGTGGTGTATTTTCATAGGCTGGAAACACATGCAAGTGATGTGATGGAATCACTTTTTAGGTTTTGTTTATGTTGTTGTTTTTGCCTTTACCATTTTATTATGCTGTTTTTCACAAAGCTTTCACACTTTAAAGGAGGCAGCTACAGTCAAACCACATATCCATTCCAGGCAGCAAGAAGGGGCAATGGTAATGGGTAGAAGGTGTACATTAAAGTAGCGTCTGTCAAGAAACCCAGGTCTTTCCTGGAAAAATCTCCCCTTAGACCTCACTTACCGTTAACAACTGGAACCAGGTTAGAGGGCGAGTCCTGGGTGCAAAGGAGTGCTGGGAGGTCAATAGTTGATACTATACAGTGAGATGCTGAAAACGTGGCAGTTTTCTTAGTAATACAGATGGGAAGGGTGAATACTGCTTAGGACCCAACGAGAAGAAGTGTTCTATTTCTCAAATGTCTTACTTCTGTGTACAAGTACTTTTCTCAGCTTGGCTGGCAGAATACTAACTGCCCTGGATAGCAGGACTCCAGTACTATCCTTTAATCGTTTCCTTGCTTTGGGTCTCATTCCCTGAAAACACTTATGATGGAAATTGGCAAATAGCAATTTTTTTTTCTACAAAAGTGAAAGTAGCACATAATTTAGGCTTTGTGATCCATACCCAACTATTCAATTCTCCCACCACAGTGTCCCAACAACCACAGACAATCTTTAAATAAATGATCTAACTGAGGCATTATTTATAAAATTAGATAGCTGGCCAGACTGCCCTTGCTTGCCTTTGTTGATCCTTTTTCTACAATATCATTAGCTTTTTATTTCTAAAATCAGAGTCAATGTATCTTCCATGTCGAGGTGGAAAATATACAGTGATTTTTTTCCCTCGCCAACTTTCACATCATATTCTCTACATTCAGTGCACACTGTATGCTATTAGAATAATATGTTTTTGCTTTATCCACAGTGAAGAGTTTAAACAAATAAACACACTAATAATATATAATTTCTCATAGTCAGCTTACAGCTTTCCAAAAATGACTCTTTTAGTACATCCTTTCCTGACCACACTAGCGCAGAGCATTAAAATGTATGGTCCTTTTCTCAACTACTTTTAGATACTCCGTTTCTCGCTGTAAGTCTTCCACCTCTCAGTGGGAGAATTTAAGAACATTAGCTGTTCTCACCCTCAACTTCCTCCACAAGTCACACATGATAACTTTGAATGCACAGAACACTGAACCATCTTCTCAAATGTTTGTCTGCAGCAAAGAAGAATATGCTATCGTTTTAGATCTTTCTTCAGATATTTGTTTCATCCTAACAGATATGTAACAGGCTGAGCAAAGAACCTGGGATTTCAGTCTTACTTCAAGTCTGTTCGTAGGGTTAAACTGTTTCCTTACTCCAGTACTTTAAGTAATAAACATGAAATGCACATATGCTCTTTTAAGTATGTAACTTCAAAAACTCTGAAAATCTACCAAGTTTTGATGTTTGTCATAGGAGTGAAAACTTTTCTGGATTCTCCCAAGTTTAACTTTAATTTTCTAATAACTTCTGTAACTCAACTATTCTATTAAACTTGTAAATTCAAAAGATTCTTCACTCCAAAGACAAATCTTATTTTCTTCTTACTCTGTGATTTATTCTCTTGAAACATATGTTATTTGCATGATAGCTCTAATAAATAAACACTCCAAATCACATATCTTTCAATCATAATTTCCATATATTTTATATTTTTGTTTGGTGATTCTTAACCTAGTCTTCATGCCTCATATATATTCTCAAGTTCCAAAGTAATGGCTAAGTGTAATATGTGACCACTCATTCCTGTAATCCACATATCCATCTTTTCTGCTATTAATTTATTTGTTAGAAAAAAAAACATAGTTCTGAATTACCAAAATATTTGCTGTGTCCTTGAGCTGTGTCTGGTACTCTTACGAATGAAACACTTGCTATAAAGTCTACTCTGCCAGTTTTTCTCCCTTTGGTATTGTCCCTTTTGGGTTACATTTGATTCCTTTGTTCCCCTTGGACTCTTGCTTTTAATAGCAACCCAGTGGTGGTGCCTTTGGGCTCTCTTTACTTTAGTATGATAGTGAAGGATTGGCCAAAGTGTCTTCAGTCCTTTGTTAGTGCGCAGGAAATTCTGTACCTGGATTTAACACGAACTCTCACACACTAAGGTTAGCAGTGCCTAACCCATCAATTTTTCTAAACACTCGTTGGCAACTAACAAAGTTGAATATATTCTGGGGCTGTCCCCAGGCTTGCTAGTGCTTATCCCTGTGTTCTATCTACTGTGAGACCCAGGGAGAAATTGCTTTATCCCTGAGATGCAGGCTGAGACCTCATCTGCCTTCCTTAGCTTTCTCCAACAGCTGCAGGAAACACCTCATCCTCTGAAGAGAACTAAATAAGGCTGGGAATTTTAGATCAGCAAAGGAAGAAGTTGTGATTATTCAAACTTTATGTAAATATTCAAATTCAAAGAGTGATTTCATTAATAACTATAATATCTCTCATGCAAAACAATATTCATATATATATTAAAATTAAATACATAAAATATTTATTCTAATTTACTCTTAGACTAGCACAAAGATAATAAAAATATTATAGTAGCTGGGTTTATTTTAGTCACCTATATAATATTTCATGTATATGAGAAAAGAAAAATAAAATAGCTAGCCTATAACACTCGGTGAGTATTGGAAAGGCCCCACATTAACAAGGAAACTCAAGGTCTGGTTCGTGGTACACCAACTATATCACAATCCCAGAATTCAGGTGCACTTTTAGTTCATTCCTTCTCTTTGTTTTATAGATATGTGCATTCAAAAAATGGCTTAAGTACTCTCACGAAGTCTCTCTATATTTTGAAATGAATAAGGCATGGAAATACTAAGGAATATCTCGAAAATTTTATTAGTGCAGCAACTACTTCTATAACTAATGTTAGTTTAATGTATTATGAGTTGTAAGCCTGAAAACATGTTGCCAAAAATTCTAGACATCATACAGTTTCTGCTGTGGAGGGTGCCAAAGCAAACGACTTGGTATGTTCTTAATATATACTACTACTAATTTTCACGAATGAAAAGCCATGTTAATTAAGCAAAAATTACAGGAGTCTTTCAATTTCTGATTCTCTTTTAAATCAAAACATTATCTACACTTACACATCCAGAAATTAATTTAATAACAAAGTAGCCTCCATGTCTTTTATCAGTTATGCAAAAGTATTCATTTTCTTTCCCAGACTTACACACACACACACACACACACACACACACACACACACGAACTCATTTTCAAGAAGCAACCGCAACCTTTGGATTTTCAAAAGTATACATTCATTTCTCCAATATAAAGATAAGTCTCCTCACCCATGTCTGACATTTCAGGCACAGTGACGATGTACGGCCCATCTGTGAACTGGGGAGCGTTGTCGTTGATGTCTTGCACTTTGATGATGAACTCGGATTCGGGTTCCAGGGGCTTGTTGGTCCGTCTGTCAATGGCCTGGGCGTGCAGCACGTAGTGCGTCTTCTGCTCTCTGTCTAGGCTTTTGGTTGAATGGATGTCCCCTGTGGTGTCATCAATGATGAATATCGTCCCGGCACCTTCTCCAGTCAGAATGTACTTGACAGACCCATCACCTTTGTCAGAGTTGGAGTGCAGCTGTAAAACACACGGAACACGTTAGCATGCGATACGCTCCAACCTCACCTCACATCCCCTGAAAATTATCTCCAATCAAATGGTCTATGGTTTTATACCCTCTGCTGTGGTTTGCTTGTTATTATTATAGTCATTGTCTTGAAGATTCTTTTTATGGATACTTACATGTGTGTTTATGTTTCTTACCACGATTTGTCTGAGAGTCAATAACTAACATGACTTATTGCTAAGGGAAATTTATTTTTGTTAAATCAGTGTTTCATTGATGTACAGGAGTCACATTGGAAATTCCTGCTTCATCATTATTGCTCTCCATACTTGGAAGAATAGTGTGGGAGTAGCATTTTAGAATTAATTAATATTATATTTGCATCTTAAAACTAGAAAAACCATGGTAGAGCAAATTGAAATTCATATGCATTATCAAAAATTCCACAGAAGACACAGATATATCAAAGAAATACTAAATGGTTAACTTGAAAAATAAACATTTTCTATTATAAATTTTATATTTAAAATTAAAAATACTTAGAGTTATTTTTCCTTAGGGATTGTCAAACTTTAACTAAAACTGTTACTGTCACAGTAAACTTAACCATTGAATGAATCTTAATTTTATTTGAGCTGCAGTTTTATATTTTTAATATGTTTTATATATTTTTAATATATTTTAAATTAAAAAAATATTAAGTTTATTAACATAACTTAGATGTACCTAACAATCACATTCGTCATGATGGATTTGTATCTATACATGATACATCTTGATTCCTCTTTTCTTTCCATTCCCCTGCTATCCCTTCAACTCCTCTTCTCTTCCTTATTTACAAAGCTTTGTTTCCATCTTATCCGCTTTTTCTTGTAATTTTCCTTTCCCTTTCCTCTTTGCCTCTCCCTAGTTTCTCTTTCCTTTCATTTGTTTGTATTGTTTTTGGTACAGGGGATCAAATCTGAACTTTACTTGCAAGGCAGGCAGCAGAACCACTGAGCTAAGTCCCCAGCCCATTCCTCTTTCCTTTTGAATGATTACTTCCTATTTCATAATGTCTATGATACATTTTGGTCCTTATTTACACTCTCAGCTTCTTACACCAGAGAGATGAGGTGATATTTATACATGTGTGTCCAATTTTTTTTCGCCTAAGAGCATAGTCTCAAGGTTCATTTAACTAGAAATGACTAAAGTTTAACCTTCTTTATGGCTGAGTACTATTCCATTGTATAAAACACCCACATCTTCTTTACCCACTCATCTGTTGATGGGCATATGGGCTGTTTTCAATATTTAGCTATTACAAACTACCGCTATAAACATGGGTGTACATATATCTCTGTGGTATGATTAATTCTTTCAGGGAGATACCAAAAAGGGGAATAGCAGGGTGAAATGAGACCTCTAACCCTAGTGTTCTGAGGAACTTCCACACTGAGTAGCACAGTAGATGCACCAGTCTGCACTCCCAACCAACAGTGGAAAAGGGTCGTTTCTCCCCACAGCCACAATCTGTTATTTCTGGATTTCTTGACAGCAGCCATTCTTTGTGGAGTGAGATGGAAGCACAGCATTGTCTTAATTTGCATCTCCTGAAGGACTGGTGATGTTGAACATTTTTTCATATATGTATTTACCGTTTGTTCTTCTTCATAAATGAAGCATGTATTAATCTCAGATGCCCATTTTGGGATCGGCCCTTTAAAAGTGGGGAATTCTGATTTATTTATTTTTTCACTTCTTCGTGTGTTCTAGATATTAGTCCATTGTCCCAGAGAATTTGCTAAATTTTTTCCCATGTTGTGGTTGTCTTTTCACTCTGTTGCTGATTTTTTTACTGTGAAAAAGCTTTTCAATATGATGAAATCCCAGTTGTTGACAGCAGTATTTCCCATACTATGTTTTCTTCAGGAAGTCTTTGTGTTCATCTATGTCTTCAAGAGCTCTTCTTATTCTCTTTTCTGATATATTTATTGTTTCTGTTTTAAAATTTATATCATTGAGCAATTTCGATGCTAGTTCAGTGCATGGTGATAGATATGGGTATAGTTTTAGTCTTTGGCAGGTGGAAAGCCAGTTTTTCCAGAAACGTTTATTAAAGAGGCCATTTAATGCCACTACTCCTCAAACTCTTTAATGGAATTGAAAGGGAAGCAATACTCCCAAAATAATTCCTGGAAGCAAGCGGTACTTTAATTCCAAAACCAGGGAAAGACCCAACCAAAAAAGAGAACTACAGGCCAATCTCCCTAAGGAACACAGATTCAAAACTCCTCAATAAGATAGCCAAATAGAATGCAAAATATCATCAAGCAGATAATGCACCCTGTCCAGTTAGGATTCATCCAAGAGATGCAGGGATGGTTCAACACCTATAAATTAAAAAATGTAATACAGCATATTAACAGAGCCAAAGACAAAAAACACATGATCATTTCAATTGTTGCAGAAAAAGCAGTTGATAAAATCAAACACACATTCATGATAAAACCCTACAGAAAATTGGAATAGACAGTCTACATCCCAATTTGATAAAACCCATCTCTAACAACCCAACAACCAACATTATACTAAATGGTCAAAACCAGAAAACTTTCACTCTAGAATCAGAAATAAGACAAGGATGTCCACTATTACCAATCCTATTCAATATAGTCCTGGAAACATTAGCCACAGGAATTAGACATGGCAAAGGAGTAAAATAATTAAAAACAGGAAAGGAAAAGTTAAATTATTGTTATTTTCAGATGATATGATACTCTACAAGACTGCAAAAATTCCACCAAAAGATTTCTAGTTTTAATAACCAAATTCAGTAGCACATCTGGATACAAAGTCAATAGTCAAATATCAGTAGCATTCCTGTACACAAATAATTAACTCAGAGACAGAATTAGGGAAAAAACACCTTTTACAACAGAACAAAAAAATGAAATGCTTAGAAATCAGTCTTGCAAAGAAAGCAAAAGACCTGTATACCAAACATCACAGTACTCTGAAAAAGAGGATTGAAGAGGATATTAGGAAATGGAAAGGAACTCTTTTTTCTCAGATAGGATGAATCAACACAGTGAAAATGGCCATTCTCCCAAAATCATTATATTGATTTAATGCAATCCCAATGAAAATACCCTTAGAATACCTCACATAACCAGAGAAACATTCCTAAAATTTATTTGGAACCAGAAGAGACTTGGAAGAGCAAAACTAATTCTGGTAAATAAAGGCAAGGAGGGGGTATCACAATCCTTGGCTGGAAATTATGCGACAGAGTCAGTGTGATTAAAAAGCAAAACAAAACAAAAAAACAGCACAGTACTGGCTAGAAAACAGACCTGAGGATCAGGGTAACAGATTACAAGATGCAGAAATAACTTGAAACATACTCAACTACCTTATCTTTGACTAAGGGGTCAAATACATTCACTGGAAGAAAGATAGCTTCTCATTTACTAAATTAAGTGAATATGAAAAAATTAAAAATAGGTATTCACTGAAAGAGATGCTCTAAGCTGAAAAATAACTGACACATTAAGAAAATATATCTAAGTTTTGTCACTTAAATCTAAGTGAATGTTTTTAAATTGTACATATTTAAGATTATTTTCACTTCTAAAAATTCAGTTAAATATTTCAAGACTTCCAGTGCTACATTTCTAGCTAGGGATAACTGTTGGATTTTCTAAAATCACAAACATATATTTGAAGAGTGTATCCTCCAAGAGATCTGAGCAGTTGTCTTTCATATGAGTTCTTTTGGTCACATAATCTCAACTGTTCACCTTTTGGTCATTTCTGACATTAGAAACATTGAGAAAATTTAACCTCATTACATAGCATTTTTAGCTTCCTCACCACACTAAAGTGAATTTTATAAAGATTTATTTTTAAATGTCTGAACTCTTGGAAGACGATTGAAAAAGATAAAATATGAAAAAAAAGGATACAATGCAAAAAAGGACTACTTTTATGGGAAATTGAAAAGATCTGAAATACTACTGATGCTCTATCATGAATATATTGTGAATAATTTTACTTCTTTCTTGAAAGTGTGCAAGATATATAACAGACAAAATGAAGGTGAAAATTACTCAAGAAGACTCAATATTTAAAAGCATTTCAAAAGCCCTTAGATATTTTATTTTAAAAAGAAAAATATAACAGAAAACTATGGAAGATACATTTTTACAACATTTATAATTCATTAGTAAATGGACTAAAGAAAGATGAAGAATATTTCAACTAGACAAATTGTACGCGTGCATGAAAATGTACTTTTCTTGTTTTTCATGCCCCCTGAGAAATGATTTGGTACCTAGAAACAGATTCATCACTTGTGAAACATGTCTTCAACATATTGATAAAGCAAGCTTCTTCACATTCACCAACTTTGCATCAATTTGTGATTAAAATACAAAAAAGTAAAAATGTATTAATCAAATATTTTTAAAAACTTTTCTAGAATACTTTTCACTTAAAATGTGATACAGTTTCTAATTATTACATTGTTAAATATAAATTTTATTTCTATATTAATGATTATAGCCCTGCCTGCACGCCACCAGCCCCAGAGAGGAAGGCAAGATTCGGAAGGCTGCTGGGAGATCTGCTGTCCCGCTGGCCTGCTTGGGCCCATTTGGCAGGACCCAGTAGCCACGCCCCCCCGTCTGCACTCCACCAGCCCCAGCGAGGAAGGAAGGTAGCTGCACTGGCACCTCAGAATCACATCCTCCACCCCCTCACTTCCCCCACCAGACCTCCTGATGGGGCTAGTCCTTGGACCCACTCTGCAGAGGCACAGGTGGTCATAAAGGGTTTTTTTCTGACCTCCCAACTGTGAACATCTTTAAAGAAAGGGCGAGAAAAACCTGTAATAGAACTGTGTGGAGCTCAACCCTGTAGGTCAGGGAACTCAATTTGGGCCTTGCGGCCTGAAGTCAGTCTGAGTCACTGGGGTCTGCCTTTGGCTAGCTGAGATCAGGGGACCTGGTTCTGCACATAGCTGTGC